TGCAAGCCTCATCTGGCATGACATAAATACATTATCAGTCGCCGTTTACACTGAATGTAATTAAAATTAAAATCATTCTCACGCGAAACGACATGTTTACACACGACTGTGAGTGTGCGCGTGGCTGACTGTGACGTCATTGCCGGTGTTCTGCCGAAAACTGATTGCCGTCCGCGTCCATCCGTTTTACATGCCAAAAAGTGATTACAGACTCTAGTTATTGAGTGAACTGCTATTTCTGCCTCAAAATGACTTGATTTCATTCATTGTTGTCATATTTGATAGATTATAGCTCATTCAGTCCTTTTTACCTGTTGAAATACCTTTAAATGGCCTATAAAACCAATAAAATGCAGTTTTACACTTGCCAAAAAGTGATTACATATTCTACTTATTGAGTGAACTGTTCTTTTTGCCTCAAAATGACTTGATTTCATTCATTGTTGTTATATTTGATAGATTATAGCTCATTCAGTACTTTTCACCTGTTGAAATACCTTTAAATGGCCAATAAAACCCAAAAAATGTGAACTGTGAAAAAAGTGAACTGTTCTTTTTGCCTCAAAATGACTTGATTTCATTCATGGTTGTTGTCAAAAGGTATTTCAACACGTAAAAAGGACTGAATGAGCTATAATCTGTCAAATATAATAACCATGAATGAAATCAAGTCATTTTGAGGCAGAAATAGCAGTTCACTCAATAAGTAGAGTCTGTAATCACTTTTTGGCAAGTGTAAAACGGACGGACGCGGACGGCAATCAGTTTTCGGCAGATGATTAATTTTCGGCACGACATCGGACTATACTGCACTATTGAACTTGCTATTAGCACGGTGCTCATTATTTGTCGTGGGACGTGACTGAGGAATCAGATAGACCTTTCGAGTCAACAGAAGCACTCAAAGGTCCTCTGACATCGAGGGAAGGTACGAGACGCTACCGGATAGCGCACCCACCCAGCCACCGGGAGTGTTGGGTGTTCCTACGGCCTCATGGGACGGACGGCTGTTCGTGGAGGATTGTGTAGCCGGACACGGGAGAGTATCGTGACTGCTTCAAGAACGCAGGTACATTATATTGGTTTTGTTTTGCTCACTGAAGAGCGAAGAGGCCAATTTGCAGTTTCAAAGGCCGCCACGCACACAAGCAATGTCTCAGGCCTGCATCGGGGTGGTGTGTGAGTGTGTTTATGTGTGTGAGTGGGCCCATGTTGATTTATAAAAGGGGCCGCTTATGTTGTTGCTTAGCCGTGATTGCATCCCTAAGGTCCCGACTTCACAGAGGTGGGGCCCAGGCAGTGCCACTCACTTTCTGACTCTGAGGGGCTGGGAAAGTCCTGACCAATGTAGGGGATGTGCTTGAATGCAGCAGAATGTTCTGTCCCTCTCCTTTAACCCGACAGGTTAAGCCAGATATGCTGCTCTGTGGCAACTATGGCAGCAAGCAAACTGCCAATAGTGCGGCTGCCTACTTGGAGGCACGGAGCTCTAGGACTGCCTCTGGGGACAGTCCCTCACCGTGGTCGAGGTCCCTCAAAAGGTCAGCTTGGTAGACTTGGAAAACACCCATGGTGTGCAAAGCCCCACCAGCCATGTCTGTCGCCGCATAGACAAGATGTTGTCTTACAGAGCTTTGGTGGCAAGGCAGGAGCCTTTCATGAGGACACCATGCCAGGGAAGAGGTAACTTGCAAGTGCCTCTTCAAATGGGGCATTCTCACACACACGTGCTCAGCCAACCCCTTCACATTGCAACAGCTGGGTTTTGGCGTGGAACACAGGCCAAGTAGGGTTTCATCCATGACTTCACCATTTCATTGTGAACCTCTGGAAGAAATGGAAGGTTCATGAACGGTGGTCATCTACAAACCTGAAAAAACTGCTCATTCAGCCTTCAAGGAGCTGGCTCTTCCCTCTTCACAGACCAGTCCAGTTTTACTCTGGCTGTGGTGTAAGTCTGTGACTTCTACCAACTTGTCATATGCAGGACTGCGGGAGGAGGCAGGTGCGTTCTCGAAGGAAGTACAACCTCTGCTGGGCCTTTTTAACAATGGACTCAATGTGATTGTCCCACTTCAGGTCCTGAGAGATTGTGGTGCCCAGGAACCTGAATGACTCCACTGCAGTCACAGTGCTGTCCATGATGGTGAGTGGGGGGAGAGCAGGGGGGTTTCTCCTGAAGTCCACTATCATCTCCACAGTTTTGAGTGTGTTAAGCTCCAGGTTGTTAAGACCGCACCAGACAGCCAGTTCTTTATCCTCCTGTGTGTAAGCAGACTCGTCTCCGTCCTGAATGAGGCCGATAAGTGTGGTGTCGTCTGCAAACTTCAGAAGCTTGACAGAGGGGTCTTTAGAGGTGCAATCATTGATGTAGAGAGAGAAGAGCAGTGGGGAGAGGACGCAACCCTGGGGGGCACCAGTGCTGATCGTACGGGTGCTGGATGAGAATCTTCCCAGCTTTACTAGCTGCTGCCTGTCTGTCAGGAAGCTGTTGATCCACTGACAGACGGAGGTGGGCACGGAAAGCTGAGATAATTTGGGCAGGAGGAGGTTTGGGATGATAGTGTTAAAGGCCGAGCTGAAGTCCACGAACAGGATCCTCACATAAGTCCCTGGTCTGTCTAGATGTTGCAGAACATAATGCAGTCCCATGCATGCTGACTGCATCGTCCACAGACCTGTTTGCTCTGTAGACAAACTGAAGAGGATCCAGCAAGGGTCCAGTGATGAATGATTAAGACAGAGTCCGGGTGTTGTTGCTCTGTCTCTGTGATCTGATCAGCGAGTTTCTGTAAAGCCATGCTCACATGCGCTTGCGGAGGAATGTAAACACTCACGAGAATGAACGAGTGGAACTCCCGCGGCAAATAGAATGGCTTGCAGTTAATGAAGAGCGCTTCTAGATTGGGACAGCACATCTTCTTTAACGCTGTTACATCTGTACACCACCTTTCGTTGATGTAAAAACATGTCCCGCCGCCACCACGCGATTTCCCCGTTGATTCTGCGTCGCGGTCCGCTCTGAACAGCTGAAAGCCCGGCAGATGTAGCGCGCTGTCCGGAATGGTGTCATTCAGCCAGGTTTCCGTGAAACACAGAGCAGCAGAGTGTGAAAAATCCTTATTTGTCCGGGAGAGCAGAAGAAGTTCGTCCGTTTTGTTGGGTAGAGAACGAAGATTCGCCAGAGGGATGCTAGGCAACGGCGTTCGAAATCCGCGCTGCCTGAGCTTCACGAGCGCGCCGGCTCGCTTCCCCCGTCTGCGCGTCCTAAAGCGCTTGATCAGCGCCGCTGCTCCGCCAACTACAACGTTCAGGAAAACGTCCGAATAATCGAAATCCGGTAGAAGATTTTGTGATGTGTTCTGCCGAATGTTCAGCAGTTCATCCCTGGTAAAACTGATCTTGTCTGAGAAACAAAGAACAGGAAAAACTAACAAAAACAGTACAAACACTGGAGAGCCAAGCACTGAGGCGGCCGTCCGCGGCGCCATGTTGTTCATATGCAATATGAACATTATGGGCAATATGGGTTCAGACATTCATTACACCTAGGAGGTGTTCCCATAGTGTCAGCTGCTGATGCAGCATCGAGTGAACCTATGAAAGGGAACAATGTTTGTGTGCATATCAAAATATATAGCTACATATATAGCTACATATATAGCAAAATAATATATGAAGCTCATGTTATGTTCAAATGCAGGGTATAAGTCATAATTTTAAATTGTTGAAAGCCAAAAGGCCATAGAGTTTGAAATATTTGTAATAAGACCATGGTCATAACACAACACACAAATATTCCATAGGTCCATATGTTCCCTAAGTTGTTTTTTCCCCAGTATATTCCAGTATAAATTCCAGTCCTCGCTGCTGACACTTCACCAAACAGATTTACATTTATGCATTTCACTGACACTTTTATCCAAAGCATTCAAGGTACACATTTTGTTAGTTTTTGCTTTCCCTGGGAAACACATAACCTTGGTGTTGCTAGAGCCATGCTCTACTGTTTCAGCTACAGAGCTGTGTATCACTGCGCAAAACCCTTGGCAACCACCCTTAGCATCACAAATATGTATTTATTTACTGGAATAATTATTGTCATGTAGAAACATTATTATTTCATATTGTTATTATTTATTATTGCATTATGATAATATTATTGCATATTGTTATTATTGATCATATTTTGATGCATATGTATGTAAATTAAATGTACATTAAAAGTCTTTTTTTTTTTATTTATTGTAGACATCTGTTAATAGGCTGATGGAGAGAATTAAATTACAAAAAAAATTATTTCATGAAAATTTCATATATCTAAACCCCCACCCACTCCCCTTAGTCCCTGATGTTTTTAAAGCGTAGCATGCCACTGAAAAGGCTTGAAATGGTTCTGTGTGAATTTTATCAGCCTGAGCTATCTATGCTCAAATATACTGTTGATTTTTAGAGTTAAAATGTCCCCTTCTAAATGTGTGTTCCTTATGTCAGTGTTGCACCTGACCCTGCTGCATGCTGGAGCCCCCCAACACTGCGCATTTTGAATGTCTCCTTAATCAAACACATCTGATTCAGGTCATCAGCTCATTATAGCAACATTAAAAGCAAACATTATAAGCAACATTCAAAATAATCAAATGAATCACAGAAATGCTATAACTGTTTTGAACATGAGTGTATTGAAACATGTTGACAGTTTATTAACCCCACCAGATATCATGCTCTGGAAATTAAATTTTATGTAAATAATAGACATACTAATTACGTAAATAATACACCTACTTAATAGCCTTTTTATTATTATTATTTTATCAAAACAATATCCCCTTCTAATAAAGCGACAGAGTCAGAATCTTACCATACTACAGTACAGTAACCTCCATTTTTATTTGATTCATTACAATGGTAAGACTTTTAAATTTTTTATGAACTTTATAAATGTTTGTCTTATTTCTTTTGTTCTCACTCCATAAATAATTGGGTTAAAACAACTTGGAAAAAGTAAATACATTGTGCTCACAAATACACGACCACTAGGAGAAAAATTATTTCTTATTCTGTATGACAAAAATGCAATTAAGGCAAAGGTCAAAGTAACTGACATAACAATGAAGTGAGTAATGCAGGTGTTTAAGGCCTTCATGTTAGTTTTGCCAGACTTGAACACAGAGGTGAAAATCACAATGTAAGAAATATTGATAAGAATAAAATCTGCAGTTGGGATAAAGAAAACAGTCAAAAGTCCTACAATATTATTAATAGTTATATCTCCACATGCTAACTGAACCAATACCATGTGTTCACAAAAACAATGATCAATGATATTTGTTACACAAAATGACAGTTTTCCTGCCAGAGAGACAGTGGTGACTACCAGGAGTACATTTCTGATTACTGGCACAACAACAAACTTTACAAAGTTAGGGATTTCCATGTATTTGTGATAATAAAGAGGTTTGCAAATTGCAAAGTAACGATCCAGTGCCATCCACAAAAGCAAAGTAGACAAGATGTGTATTTAGATTTGGCATTTGCCAGCTTTTGACCAGCAGATGTCCTCATCATACTTTTTTTTTCAATGCATTTCTAAATTCATGGGAGAGTCTTTCTGTGCCTCCTGGAACAGCTAGCCAAATATATACCAAATATATTAGCCAATATATATTGTCATAATATTTGAGAAGAAAATTAAGCATATAATTGGAAACACTTACATTTTTTTTATTATTATTATTATTTTATTTTTTTTGTACTGCTTACATTCCTTGCAAGTCAAATTTTGAAAACTTTACACTCAGGTGTGTGAATAGATTGTACAAAAATGCCACACAAATTTGCCAACAAAAGTCATGCAAATGTCATATCGATTTTATACAACAGTTCAATAAACATGAAGTTAATTTTGTGTTACATTTTAGACACAATTTTGTCTATCTGTTTTTGATCAAAAAGTTTTAACAGCTTTATTTTTGTAATTTCTTTTTTATATTTATTTTTCTGCATTAATGTTTTTTTTTTCTACAACTGGATCTGGAGTACCTAATTTTTGTTGTTTCCTAATGAGAATTTACACTATATTTTACACATTGCACATTTTAACACAGAAGCCTGAAAGACTTTCTTGACTGTTGTCATATCATACGATTACTGATCTTAAATGTGACTTTATTTTTTTCTTGATTATATTCTTTATTATTATTTTTTTTTATTTTTGTGAATGTCGGGTACAGGATGTGGAAATTTCATATAAATTTTCATGTTATATATTTTGGTTGCATTTGTGAGTAAATAAATATGTTACTGGCTGTGTAAAATAGATACATACAGTGGGTAAAATAAGTATTGAACACGTCACCATTATTCCCAGTAAATATATTTCCTAAACATGCTGTTGACATGAAATTTTCACCAGATGTCGGTAACAACCCAAGTAATCCATACATACAATTAAAACAAAACAAATAAGTTCAGAAGTTACGTGTAATATAATGGAATGACACAGGGAAAACGTATTGAACTACTGAAATGTATTTAATAGTAGCAATTGTAAAGAACTTTGTTCACGAGGTAAAAATCAACCCAACACTAAAACCAGTGTGCCAAAAACTGAGACGTTTGCCTTTTGCAGTTAGAGCTTCTTTATCAGCTGAATTAGACTGCCTGCTGATGGCTGATGTCACTGAACAGGTCGGTGCTTCTGCCTGGGTGTCCCCCATCATTGTTACAGGCAAGAAGAATAGTGGGATACGGATGTGTGCGGACCTACGCTGAAGGGATCTCACTGTATATGGAAAAACAGCTGAGGGACATGATCTGAAACTCAGCACTGTTTTTAAGAAACTGAATGCAATTTCAAACAGACCTCACTGTGGTTCCTTGGTCATGTAATCAACAGTAATGGAATCTTACCTGACCAGGAGCATCTGGATGCTGTCTGGAAAGCCCCATCTGACGCAGCATCTTTACAGTTATTCTTAGGACTAGTCTCTTGGTACTCAAAATTCCTCCATCGATTTGCAAAAGTTGTTGCCTCCATGCGTGAGTGTGCTAAAGAAAAAGGACGGTTATGGACTTCTGCTGCACAAAGCAGATTTGAGAACATTAAACAGATGCTTGTGTCCAGTCGTGCCCTTGCCATTTATGACCCCGCACTTCATTTAGTGATTTCCACAGACACAAGTGAGTATGAACTGGGTGCAGTGTTTGCCCAAATACAAACGGATGAAACTGAACAAAAACAAACAAACAAACAAACAAACAAAACAACAACAACAAAATAAAACAGTAGCTTTCACTTCCCACACTCTCATTGCAGCTGAACAAAATTTTCCATACTGGAGAAGGAGGCTTTGGCATGTGTGTGGACTAACTGAAAAGTGACAAACTTACCTGTGGGGCCATCAGGCACTCACCACCCTTAACCACAAAAGGCATGGGGCGAGCTGGAATGCAGATTGCTCGTTGGTCCGCATGTCTGCTTTGATTTGATTGCAAGATTGTCTATTGGCCTGGTTCCCAGAATCACACAGCTGACTGCTTGTCTCGTCTTCCCTTACCTGCACCTGCTCACTCTTCAGCCAATATAGAGCCTGAAATTGTGGCTCTCATTTCTTCAATGTTGCTCTACTTCAGTGACTGATTTAGGGACTGGAAGCAAATCACACAGGGCTGGCCATCCTCCATCAAAGCGGTAATTAAGGACTTGATTCCATACTTCAGATTGAGAGATGAACTCTCAGTAAAAGATGCATTCATTTTCAGAGGTACAAGTTTGTTAGCCCCTGTTGCCCTATGACACACATACATTGATTTCCTTGGCACATGAGGCTCCCCAATGGGTAGTGCGCACAAAACAAGTATAAAACTAATTTCTGCATGCATCCCCTGCCAGTCAAATGATAAATCTGCTGTGGCACAGCCAGCACCCTTGCAGCCAGATAAGTTTCCTGGGCCACTTAAAGTGGCCAGTTCTATATAAAAAGCATTATACACGTTAAAAAATAAAATAAACATTTTCTCAGACTGTTCGTGCTGAAGCAGATCCTCTCATGGGTTGGCCTGAGGGCTACTTATATCTGGAGAATACCTACTTCAATATTTGGATAGCCCTCATTTCAAGTGTTTCTGGGATTGCCTCATGAGCACAGCGCACCACTTCACAGTACCTGCAAATGAGTGCTTAACTTCATGGAATGTGTGAACACAGCTCTCTCCCCTCTAAAATTAGTGGAGGCTGGGTGCTTAATGATCTGGATGATTTATTGATAATGATTCAGTCAAAGTGTGTTAAACTATCATAGGCTTTTACCACTCAACCACCCAGCTAATTCCCTTCTTAACTCTCTGAGTTAAAAGAACTAGCGGCAAAAAAAGGCGACGGTGTTGTCGCCTTGCATCGGCAGTGTTTGGACCAAAAAGCTGCACTAGAACACTCAGACTACAGCCGACTGCAAACTAAACACGTGCGTTCTGCACTTGCGTGAGAGGAATTAGCTGTCTATATCAGCAGCTATCAATAGTATTCGTCATTTAAAAGGAGAAACCGAAACAAGGATATACAAGATATATTCAACTCAATATTAAGTTCAATAAGTTCAATAATAAGTTCATTTGCCCTTGCCCTCTTTTTAATTATTATTATTATTATTATTTTTTGCAGCCGAGTTGATAACTGTAAAACAGCTTGTCACTGTCACTATTTACCCAGCCGTAAATAGAGGACGGGTGGGACAAATAGCAACCAACCATCCTACTTGTACAACGACTGCCTACAACAATGGAGAAGTCAATATTACTGGTTACTGCTTTTTTATATTTAGTAAAATTCTTAAAAATGAGATACTAATAATACTTTGCCGCCGTGGATATTCCAAATCATAGCAACTACAGCGTATCAGCTGGAAAACACTGTGCCACCAAAGCGTTCTCAAGGGCCACCAGCTGGTCGTTTTAAGAAGAGCGCCTGACATTTTTTCAGCTGCCTGAAAACTCTTTGGTGGACACACGTTATTGAATATTTATTGTTAGGCATATGGCCTATTAGTCTTTTTTGCATTTATGCAATATACTGGTGCCAAACCTGAGAAAGTAGACCAGAATATTCAGCTGCGTTCCTGGACATGGAATTTGCGTAGCTGTAATTCATAGGCGGGGATTACGCTAATTGTGAATGAGCGTGCACGATGAATGATATTTACGAATGATTGGAATTCATTAACATACACATGTTTACTCTGATTCTGAGTCTTTGAATTGTTGTGAAAAAGAGCATGTAAAGCAGGGATCTCCAACCTGCTCCTGGAGAGCTACTGTCCTGCAGACTTCATTTTCAAGCCTGCTCCAACACACCTGCCTGTAATGATTGAGTAAACCTGAACACCTTGATAAGCTGGTTCAGGTGGGATTGATTCGGGTTGGACCTAAAATCCGTAGGACATTAGGGCCGTTTCTCAATATGCGTTCTTGTCTGTACTTGCGTTCTTGTGAATCGTCATCAGTCATTGCCCAAGTACTGTTCCAATTCAAAGTTCACATTTAGCCAAGTACAGTTCAAATCCCCGGATGGGTTCTTGCTCCGCCCCTTTTATCGAGGATGCATCAAGAGGTGACTTGTGCGAACTTGAAGCAGCAGGTATCCCACAATGCATTTCGCACCAACAAGCGAGCGTTAATGGCAGAGGAGAAAACCCGCATAATTTTCAAAATATTACTGTTATTGTGTCATGAAATGTAGTTTTATTAGTTTTTCAGGCGAGAATGTAGTTGTTTAAAACTCAAATTTGCGGTTTAATTATAAAGATAGCGCCTATTTGAAAATCTGTTTCGCCGATTTCGGCGCTCATGTATCCCGCCGAGAGCAGCCTTACCTTGGCTTGTCTTTCTGCCATTTGCCGCTGGCTCTAATGTCTCTGTAGTGGGTAAACATGAGATTTCGTTTTGGGTAAATCTAACAGGCAATATTTGGTCTCATGAATATATTATTTGTTCCTTGTCATATCGTTTTGGCTGAGGACAAAGTTTCATAACCTTATATTTGTCTTTACCGTCGTGCAGCGCTGACGTTTGCCTGAATTGTTTGCTTTTGTCTTTATTTCCTACAATACTATATTTCTTATATTTCATACTTATATGTTTAATGGCTATTATTGTTCATTAAAACCAACATTTAACAAAAAGAGTAAATGATTTTAGCAAATGGCTGCAATATAACAAAGAGTGAAAAATTTAAGGGGGTCTGAATACTTTCCGTACCCACTGTATATGTTTGTGTGTATGTATGTATATGCACATATTGCCTGAACCACATATTTGTGTGTGTGTGTGTTTTATATTTCGTTTTGTTATAAGTACATACAGTGAAGATAATCAAAGTATGTCCGCGTTGCCTTAACTAGCTACATTTTTGCGGCTATTAATAGCTAGTGTAGCCACAAATATTTCACGATGCTACAATATGTTTAAATGAGAATGAAAAGAGCAGTGGTTTTTGATATCATATTTCGTCTTATTGTAAAGATACAGTGAGGAGTAGCCAAGGCGAGCTGAGTGATGTTATCAAGTACGCTGCTGTTCCATTTGGAGGATTACCGGACTTGCGTCCTCCCATCCTCAGGAGTTCGCACTCCCGAATCGAACTTGCCAAGTCCGAACTACCAAGAACGCAAGTCGGAACTTTGCGTACTTAGTATTGAGAAATGGCCTAGCTCTCCAGGAGCAGGGTTGGAAACCCTTGACCTATAGGGAACCCACACCAGCATGGGCAGAATATACAAGCTCTGCTGCAGAGAAATGTAAGATATAAAGCAGGTTCAGAGAAAGAGAAAGCACTTCACAATTCAATTCAATTCAATTCAATTCAAGTTTATTTGTATAGTGCTTTTCACAATCGTTGCAAAGCAACTTTACAGCAAATTAAGTTTCTACAATATTTAGTGGTAGCTTATCAGTGGTGACTGTCAGTTAATGTA